GAAACAGGTTCAGAGAGGTGCTGTCACTAGCCCAGGGTCACACAGGAAGGAAGAGAGAGTGCCTGGAGCCCAGACCCGGAGCTCTAACTTGCCGCCCACTAGAGCACCATCCCTGGAAGTCCAGGATTCACAGACAGGGAATTGCCCCTTCCTGCCTGGAGCCTCCTGGCTTCTAGGGCCACCCCCACACAACTCCAGGCTCTCCTGCCCCATGAATCCAATCCTCCCATTCACCACTCACTCTCCCCATCCCACCCCTCTGTGCCCCCCAAGGAGTGCCCTCCCCATCACAAACATTAATGAGGCTTCAGCAGCTGATAAAGCAGACCTGCTTCTGGAGTTCTCACCTTCTGGGGGTTGGGGAAAGACCCAGCCCAGGAGCAAATAAACAAACACAACTACAGCTGTCCCTGAGCCACCAGGATGGCTAAGGACATGCTTGGCTCTCTCTTGTCTGCTAGGGTTGCACAGGCTGTGCCCTCTGCCTGGGATGTTCTTCTCGAGCGCCCTGGCAAACTCCTCTTCACCCATCAAAGCCCCAACTCCAATGTCCTCCCCTGCTGCTAGCCCTCCCAAGACGCTCCAGCCCTCATCCTTTCCATCTGGCCCCACCCTGACTTCACAGGGTGGGGGCAGTTTGTGGTCCTCCAGACTGTTCTGCTGTCCTTGTCATGACTGGTAAAGAGGGCCCCTGTTGTCACCTCCACGGAGACTCCAAAGCCCCACGGTGATTGGCCCAGCCACATTCACACGCCCATCCCTGAACCAATCCCTGAGTCCGTGGTGACAAAAACCTCTGATTGGCCAGACCTGGTCACCTGTCTGCATCTGGAAGCAGGAAGTGGACCTGGCTCCTTCTGCCCACCAAAATGTGTGCAGGAAGAGTAGATGCTCTCAGGACCATTTTGCCAATGACTCAGGGGTCCCCTGCGTCCCAGGATGCCTGCTGCATCCTGGCTGGGGAGCCTTGGGCCAAGTCACCTGCTCTCTTTTCCTCAGTTTCTCTACCTGTGAATTGGACTCAGCACGGCTGAGATGCAGGAGCGCCGAGGGGCCATCCAGGCACTGCCCTCCCACCGCACACACTGTTTAGAGGTCCTGTTTACCATGCGCCCCTGCCCGCATCCTTTCTTGTTCTCTGATTCCCTTGAGATGGGGCAGCACAGCGCGGCGGGCGCTGATGGCCGCCGGCTGAGTCACCACTTCCTCCTGGGCCCCTTGCCCGGCCCGATGCTTTCTGGGGACTTTCCTGGCCTTCCCCGAACATCAAAACAAGGTGGGGGGGGGTGACTCCTGGGCCAGGGAGGCAAGGGCAGAGATGTGTGTGGACAAGGTGGAGTGCACGCTGGCGTGGACTCAAATCCCACATCCTGTCCCCCCTGCAAAGAAGCCACAGCCTCCTCAGAGTTGAGGGACTCCACACGTGAACACCCCACACACCCTCAACCAGGACCGTGAGTGCCCAGCGCTGCGGTGTGGTCACTGCTGGCAGACCTGTTAGGCACGTGTTGGAGGGTCCGTGTTAGTGGTCTCCCAGTTGCGTGTGCTCGAGTTCACGGGCCCGTTTGTGTGTCTCTGCTTGTGTGTGTGTGTGTGCGCCTCGTGGCTGCCCCCGTGTGCAAAGCCCAGTGGGCCTGAAGGACAGGCAGACCTACCCCCTTGTTGGAAAAAGTTGTCTCTGGCGGTACGGGAATTCCCTGGGCAACAGCCGGAGAACTGGGAGATTCCTGGTGTGTGAGGGGTGGGGTGGGAAACAGTAGGGGCAGGAGGAGGCAGGGGCCGGGGTGGGTCAGGCAGGCTGAGGAGTTGAGGAGTCATGTGTCTGAGCCAGAATTCAGGCTGACGACATCAACTCTAAAATAGTCACCAAGCCCTAATTTGTGTGCCTGGCACTGCGGATATAGTGGGGTCCTGGGGTAACAGACTTGTAAATCAACAGATATGGGACTTCCCTGGTGGTCCCATGGTTAAGAGTCCGTGCTTTCAATGAAGAGGGTAAGGGTTTGATCCCCGATCAGGGAATTAAGATCCCACATGCCATGTGGCAAAGCCAAAAAACAAACACCCTAAACATACAAATATATAACTCTGGGAAGGGCGAAGATCAGAAAGCAGATGCATCAGAGCAGGGGAAGGCAACTAAGGAGGTGCTCTGGCCACGGGACTGGAAGGTGAGAGGGAGCCCCAGACGGAAGCCTTGGCGCGTGCAGGGTTCCTGAGGCGGGGACTAGCTGGAGGGGGCCCCATTCAAGAAGATCTAAGCCCAGAGCAAGGAGGGGAGGCATTAGGGGGCAGCGCTGGTGGGGAGCAGGGCTACCAGGACGGGCTGTCCTGTAACTGGAGCCGGGCAGGAACATGCCCCCTGCCCGCCCGCCCCCAGTACTGCCTGCTCGGGACAGAATGTGCTGGGAGGAGAGGCTGGTGGTGGCTGGGCCTGGTGGCTGGAGGATTCCTGAGCGGCAGCCCGGCTGGGCCTGCTGCCAGTGAGGGCGGAAAACAAGCAGCAGGCGCCCGGCCTGCCTGTCACCCCATGCCCCGGGCCTGGCCCGGCCAGGGCAGGAGAGCGATGGTGAAAGGGTCAGAGACAGAGAGACAGATGGTGACCAAGAGAGGCAGAGAGTGAGAGAGACAGAGATGCAGAGATGGCAAGTCAGACAGAGAGGATAAGAGCCAGTGGGAGAGCAACAGGAAGAGGCGGAGATGGGGGAGGCAAAGATGGTGCGAGAGGCAGAAGCAGAGAGAAAGACAGCAGTGAGAGACAGAGGGAGACCTGGCCTCGACTCTAAACCGGTGACAGCTCTGATTCTCGGGGGTCCTGGGAATAAACGTGAAGCAGTGACACTCCTACCCCCATCAGAGTCTTTGTTCACACCAGAGTAGATGGGGAATCCCCTCCAGGCACTCATACCTGCTGTGTGCTGGGTCCCCAGATATACCCCTGCCTTAGCCCGGCTCTCAAAGTCTCAGCCAAAACAAGTGAATGCCTAAGTACAAATTTCAGAGACTGATGAAGGCAAAGAAAACATAGGTGAGGGAGATGGGGGAGGGAATGATGAGGAGTGGTGACTTTAGGTTGGGCTATCCCTGAAATTTAAGGCTACAGTGTAAAGAGGGGCCAGCTATAGGGAACAGCTTTTTAGCAGAAGGATCAGCATGTGTGAAGCCCCTGAAGTGGGAGTCAGCTTGGGGTGTTTGAGTAGCAGCCAGGGATGCAGGGGGAAACTGGAAGGAGAGGTGGGTAGTGGTCTTAGAGGACCAAGGAGGGGAGGGATTTTATTTCAGAAGAACATTTGGCCACACTCCTCTATACTCTGTGGGCCCCATTCAACATCCAGGGAGTTCCCTGAATTCTGCACTGCCTGGCCTAGCTCCATGCTGCTTGTTATTTATCCGAATCAGAAAATCCGCCTCCTTTAGGGATCAGGTTCCAGAGAGTTGCAGACGCAGGAGTCCTGGGGACACGAGGTAGCTTGTCCTCCCAAGCCTCCTGGGGGAACGTTTTATAGAAGTGTACCCACATCCACTGTTGCAATAAACACCTTAGACTTCTTAGTTTGGGAACATGAATCTGGAAACTGCGATCTGGCGTCTTCCAAAATCCAGCTGATGGGGAACTCAGCCCCACCTGAGGCTGCCATTTGGGGATCTGGGTAACTGTGCTGTAGGAACATCTCCCCCCTGCCACTGGACCCCCAGGAACCCCAAGTCTGACAAGTTCCAAGCTTGATGGCCAATCAGCTACCCAGGGCAGATACTGCTGGACTGGGAAGACTGGGTGAACCCCAAGACTAGGAGATGTTGGGAATCAGGGCCTAAATTTAGACCAGGGAGGAGAGTGATTAATGTGAGGAGGACGTGTTCTAGAGTCTCAGATGCGGAAACTGAGGTTCAGAGGCAAGTGCCTTCTGAACCCATCATCACAGAGAGCAAAGCCTGAACACTGAGCTCCCAGTGTCCTGCTCCAGGGCCCCCCCGGGCCTCAGTCCTGCCCCTCAGCCCCACCCGTGGCCACTCTGGGCTGCTAGCTAACCTAGAGCTCTGTGGGTGCTCAAACGAACCCTGCAGAAGCACAGCCACAGCCACCTGAGTCTCAATTATCAGGGGGTGGGGATGACACAAACGTCCATCAACAGGGGCTGGGTGGATAAATGAAACTTGGTGCATCTACACAATGGAATATTATTTGGCCATCAAAAGGACCGAAGCATGGATTCCTGTTTTAACAAAAGTGGCTGAACTTCATGCTGAGTGAAAGAAGCCAGACAAAAAAGGCCACATATTCGATGAGCTCATCTACATGAAATGTCCAGAACAGGCAAATTCAGAGACCAAAGAAAGCAGATGAGTGTTTGCCTGGGGTTGAGGGAGGAGGAATGGGGAGTGACAGCTCGTGGAGACAGGGTCTCCTTTGGGGCTGATGAGCATAATTGGGAATTACAGGTGATGGTGGCAAAATATTAGAAAGGTCCTAAATGTAAGCACACTTACAAATGGCAAATGAATTGAATCTCAATAAAAGTGGGTTCGATCCCTGGGTCAGGAAGAGCCCCTGGAGAAGGAAATGGCAACCCACTCCAGTATGATTGCCTGGGAAATCCCATGGACAGAGAGAGGAGCCTGGCAGGCTACAGTCCATGGAGTTGTAAAGAGTCAGACAAGACTGACTCAACAATGACAACAGAAGCAAAAACAGCCCAGACTCCACAGACAGGCAGGATCCTCCTGCATCTGGCCCCGCTCCCACCTGCTCAGCTCCATTCTGTGGAGACAGATGAGGCATGAGGCCTCCACCAGCTTTGCTCCCAGCCTTGCAACTACACTAAAGGGAGAGATGTGGTGTCGGTCTCCCTCTGTGCCCTCGGGCCTCACCTTCACCTTCTGGTCAATGGGCCCCTCAACCCACCTCGGCCTGGAATTTCATCTGCGATCCAGACCCAAGATGGTGGTCAAGGCCACCCAACCTCCTCAGCACCTGGGGCAATAAACCACTAAGCCTAAACTCCTCTGTGATTTTTATTTTTTTAAAAAATGTACAAAAGAGAACAACTTAAGGCTTATCAGAAAGGTGGAGTCCCAGGCGGGGGCCCTGCCTCAGCCGGGTCTCTGCACTTGGAGGCTTGTCCAGCTGCCCCATCATATTGTCCCTCTGGGACACAGGGGGTGTTCAGAAGCATACTGTGGCCCTTCTCTGCCCCCCAGGCTGACCTCTGTCCCCATAGCCTGGTTTAATGCTCTGCTGTCCCTGTCTTGAAATTCTCAATTCCTGAACAAGTAGCCCCACGTTTTCATTCTGCAAGTTATGTAGCCGGTCTTGTCTGTCCTCCTTCGAACCTGTGTTTTTCAGGCCAGGCAGTACCCAGGCAGTGCTCATGTCCTGGAGCGTGAGGAGGGGCCCAGGCACTCCAGTCTGGGGCAGGAGTCTCTGGTTGTCAAAGGTTTTAAGGCTGGAGTTGCTGCACCTGCCACCCTTCAGCCCCACACAGCCCTGATGACCTGCTTTCCTGAATGCCTCATTCCTGGGCCCTCTTTCCTCCCGGACCTTGCAGTATGGCCTCGACTGAGGCATTTGCTCTCTGAACCCCACTCCAAAAATGAAGGGGACGGTCTCCAAACATCAGTCAGCTCGGACCTTCTTCGACTTTTCCTCTTGCTTACCTGCCTACCAAGCTCTTATTCACACATCAAAGCCTTAGCTAAAATGCCCTTTCCCCAGGAAGCCTTCTCCACTCCCTCTCTGGACTCTCCCAGCTCTGGGTCCTTTCCTTTGGTCCTGTGGGTCTGGAAGTATTTATGTCTGGTTCTGTAGCTCCCAGACTGGAGGCTTCTGAGGGAACACAGGCCAACACAGACAGGTTGAATGGTTTTTCAGATCCTACTGTGGGTATCTGGTACCTTATGAGGGCCAGTCCAGATATGTCAAGACTCCAGACTGGCTCTTCCTCTGTGTGATGTTGGAATGGCCCTGTTTTGTTCTGAGACTCAGTTTCCCCAACTTCAATGTAGTCAGCCCAGTCTGTTCTTCATCCAGCCACTCCTTGCTATGTCCGTGGTGGCTGGAAGCATGTGTAAACACCTTATTCTTTGACGTTTCCACTTGACACTCAGCAGGTCATGCAGCGGGGCCTCCTGGCCTCAGAGGGTGGGTTTGGATCCTCCTGCCAGAAATGATCCCATCAAGTCTTAGGAGGCCCTGGAGGCTCAGAAACACACCCACCCCATCCTCCTGATCTCCATTCTCAGACTAGATTAGGGAGCAACACTGAGGAAAAGATGGAGATGCAAAGTGGGTTCAGGCCCTGAACGGGATGGAGAAGATGCGCTATCACTTTACAACAGAAGAAATTTAGTTTTGACTGCATCGGGTCTTAATTGCTGCCCACAGGCTTCTCTCTAGTTGAGATGGTGCAGGCTTCAGAGCGTGTGGGCTCTGCAGTTTGCAGCCCTCGGGCTCTCAAGTAGAGGCTCGAGGACTCAGTAGTTGGGATGCATGGGCTTGACTGCCTCACAGTATGTGGGATCCTACCGGCCCGACCAGGGATCAAACCCTCGTCCCGTCTTGGAAGGTGGATTCCTCCCTGGACCACCAGGGAAGTCCCTAGGAGTTCTATCATTACTGAAGATTCACCTGTGGTTCCTTCCCCTCCTCTTGGCTCCCAGGGCCTTGGAAAGGCACAGGGGCTTCTCGAGCCCCTAAGCTCACCTCGGAGTACAGGGGCGGTGGGCGGTAGCGGAACTCCTGGATGTAGGCAAAGAAGGGGCCTTCCATGCTCACGTCAGGGTCCTGCAGTAGTGGCAAGAGGCTCTGCTCCATGGCTGCCACCTCCTCGTCGGGCACCACTTCGGAGTACTCGGGAGGGGCTAGAATTGACAGACAGGGTGGGTGAGGCTGGGGGAGGAGGAGGGGAGCCCCAGAATTGGGGGCAATGGCCAGGTGGAGCTGGCGTGTGCCCTTGGATTAGGATTCTTGGCGGGGGGACTCCGGTTGCCAACAGGGTCCTGCAGTAGTGGCAAGAGGCTCTGCTCCATGGCTGCCACCTCCTCGTCGGGCACCACTTCGGAGTACTCGGGAGGGGCTAGAATTGACTTGTGTGCCCTTGGATTGGGATTCTTGGGGGGGGACTCCGGTTGCCAACATGATTGTTTCGGAGCACTCCTAGAGATGGGGGCAGCAAGCGAGGCTGGAGGGGAAAAGAGTCAGCCAGGCCCTCGCCTCTCTCCCACCCATGCCCACCCACAGCAGGAGGCAGAGTTCACCTTCAGGACGCTCTGGCAGGACCCCCAGCCCCCAGTCCATCAGGAAGCTGGCATGGCTGCCCACGCTGGATGAGCGGCTGCCGAAAGGGTGCAGGGGGATGGTGCCGATGACCAGTGGGAGCTCCAAGAGCAGCTTGGATGAGCCCGGGATGTCCACGCAGACCTGGAGGGAAGCGCCATGATACAGAAGACCAGCCACCCGGGCAGCCTTGGCCACACGCTCTTTCTTATAGGAGGAGGCCCAGCGGTCCCAGCTCTAGCCTCAAGGAGGGAGGGGGACCCCAGGCTGGTTGTTGCTGCTGTTCGGTAACTAAGTTGTGTCCAACTCTGTGACCCCATGGACTGCAGCATGCCAGGCTTCCCAGTCCTTCACTATCTCCCTGAGTTTGCTCAAACTCATGTCCATTGAGTCAGTGATCTCATCCAACCATCTCATTCTCTGTCTCCCTCTTTTCATCCTGCCCTCAATCTTTCCCAGCATCAGGGACACAGCAAATGCAACCACCCCGGCCTCGGAGGATACTCTACCTTGAGGGCGTAGTCCACGTGTAACACGCGACAGTGCAAGATGGAAGGACCCACAGGAGGGATCCGCAGAGCCCGGCCCTGCCACAGTGCCCGCCGCCCGGGGCCCACAGGCTCCCCCGAGAGACTAGCCACCACGGTTCGCTTCTGTTTGCGGGCACCTCGTGCCATGAAGGTCTGGGTCTGGACCACGGCTGCCCGAGGCAGCACGGGGCGCGTGGAGCCGTTGTCGATCTCAGCGAAGACAGGGATCACTTCACCTGTTAGGTGAAACCACAGGGCCTCAGTTTCCCCACCTGCAACCTTGACGCTGGTCTTCTTCCTAATCCAGGCCCTCCCACCTGTTACCTGGAGTGTAGCCCTTGCGGTCGATCTTGGCTGAGAGGGAGACAAGGCCGTGGTTACTGTACCAGGATCGGGCGATCTTTTCCCGAGCTCCGGCTTGAGGGGCCTGGTCGGGGGTTGGGGGGAGGAAAAGGATGTGAAACGGGTCCCCTTGTACCAACCACAGACCCTGTGGAGCTTCTAAACCACCCTCAGCTGAAGGAAGATATTGGGGCAGGGCCTAGCATCCTGGTTTCTAACAGGCTGTTTGCAAAATGGATCCAGGAATGTGACCCATCTCATCAAGCTAAAAACAAGTGAACAAGCCGGCACTAAGTGTGTTAATGAGTGCTCGGTAAGCCATTATTATTGTAAGCTCTGATTGTGCCCCCTTTCACAGACGAGGGATGCGTGGGAGGCTCCGAGAGGGTGAGACACTCACACAGAGCCACAGAGCAAACTGGTGCAGCTGGTTCTAGCACCTAGCTCCACTGGCATTCCCTGGCCTGCCTCCCTCCCTGCCAAGGCTCAGCTGTGACCCCCACTTTGTGAAGGGAGGAATGAGCAGCCAATCACCATGTAGCCAGGACCTTGCCCGCAGTGCCCCCAACCCACCAAGGGCAGCCACTCACCAGGAGAGCCGGTGTGTTGATGTCCACAGGCTCAATGACAGTAAACACCTTCCTCGTCCGACGGGCAGGGACCCAGGGCCGGTGGAGGGTGGCTTTGATGCAGTATCTGACACTGCCGTGTTTGCCTTCAAAGGAAGTCACTAGCGTCCTGCGGGGGTAGGGGGGGGGAAGGTAAGACCCAGAGACACCCAGGTGGGAGATCCCCAAAGGCTCTGAGGGATGAGAGACAGGAGACACTCTGGGGGGCCTCCCAGGAAGACAATCTGGGGTCTCAGTGGCCCCCAGATACCGAGCAGTGGAGTCCCAAACCTGGAAGGGGCTGCAGACTTAGGGACACTTAGAGGCTCCCCCACAATCCTGCACCCCGCTCGACTTACGGTGGCAGCTGGAAGCTGAATGGGAATTCATGACGCCCCGGAGGCAGCGTTGTGGTCTCTCCAGTGCCTGCACGTAGGAGTAAGAGGGGGAGGCTCAGTGGCTGCGAAGGTGCTCCCGGAGCACAAAGCAAGCGCAGCGCAGGGGTCCCCCGGCTGGTACCTGGCGCGAGCAGCGTGGCACGGTGGCTCACAACCTCCACGCGTTCGCTGTAGCTCTGCGTGTACGCCGTGCTCGAGCCCGCGCTGCGCGACTCGGTCCAGTGCACATGGGCGCGACCCCGCGCGCGCAACTTCAGGGAGCTCACTCGTGCTGGGCCCGCTAGCTCCAGAAGCACTCTGCCGGCCACCGCCTGGCCGCCGCTGAACACGGGCTCAGAGCCCGCGCCAGCACCATCCAGTAGCACCACGAATGCCTTCACCTTGTCGAACAGCATCGCCGCGGGGATACGAACTCGCGGCGCGCGGCCCCTGGCTTCGAACCCGCGGCGCGGCGGCTCGACGGCTGCAGCCCAGGGCGCGAGCCCACCAGGCGCACGCAGGCGCACTCGAAGGTCGGGCCAAAGACTCCTCACAGCCTGCGCCGGCGCCGCATTTATACGGCGGGAGGGGCGGGGCGAGACGCAGGTCCCGCCCCCGGAAGGGAACACGCCAATGGCGCGGCAAGAGGCGTGGTCTTGCCCAGGCTTGGAGCAAAATAACAAAAGCCTCGGTTTGCGGCTGGCGGCCTTCTACCCCTGCTACTCTCTGGGACTCTGGGATGAGACAAGCATCGCGGCACAGAACAAGCATCTCTCAGACTGCAGGGGCGAACAGGAAAAACTGAGGCCAGGTCACCTAGCAAGAACGTTCTGCCGCCGGCTTAATCATCTACCGGCCGCCACTTGCAGACGTGACTCGGTGCATGTCCAGCCGGAGCTGGAGGGAACGGCCAGGTCCCCGAGAGCCTAGGACTAACTACCTCGGGCCTCAGCTCGGCCCGCCCACCCCGCCTCCACCCCGTGCAATGGGGGAGGGAGGAAGAAGTGGTTGGGGCCTTCCAACACTGGGCGCCTGACCATGATTTGAAACCCGCTCAGCTGGGTGACCTGGTTTAATGACATCTCGGAGCCTGAGTTTCCACGTTTGTAGAGCCAGAAGAAAATCAGTCGCGACCTCAGAGAGTTGTGCACGAATCGCGGCGTAGCCCTACTCGACCCCTCCCAGAGCTTCTCTCCCGACTCATCCGCCCGCCCCTGACACCCTGCCTCACTCAGCGGCGCCTCTGCGCTTTTGCCCCACGTTCCTTTCCAAACTTCAGCTCCCGCCCTCTCCATCCCCCACTCCCCACCCTCCCTGCCTCCGCAAACTTCTGTTTGCTCTTTTGACCCAGCTCGTCCCCTCACAGACAGAGCCAAGTGCCGGGGAAGCTCACGGAATCCCCGGGTTCAGGGCTGCGGTATGCCTTTGGGACGGTAACCACTCTCTGGACCTCAGTTTCCACAGACAACCTTAAGTAGGGTTTCCAAGTTGGAAGCTGCCTGTACGCGATCTGCGAAGCGCATGCGCCCTCTTGTGGCAGCGTCATACATTGCTGCTTGAACCCCCTACCTTATTCAGTCCCGAAGTCGTATACAACTTTTTGCGACCCCATGAACTGCAGGACACCAGGCTTCCCTGCCCTTCACTATTTCCCAGAGTTTGCTCAAACTCATGTCATGCAATCATCTCATCCTCTGTTGCCCCCTTCTCCTCCTCCCCTCAACCTTCCCCAGCATCAGGGTCTTTTCCAATGAGTTGGCTTTTCCCATCAAGAGGGGAAAGTATCAGAGCTTCAGCTTCAGCATCAGTCCTTTCAATGAATATTCAGGGCTGATTTCCTTTAGGAAGTCTTAAAACCCCCTACTTTGGCCATGCCTTCTGAGTCTGGCTCAGCCTGGCTGGAACCCCAGCTGAGGCCAAGACACCCCCAGGGGGAGGCGGCCATAATTGGCACACCCAGTCAGTGATAGAGGTCAGGGCAAACCAGTAGAGAGGGGTAGAGGCTGTCCACTCAGTGATCAGCCTGGTGAAGGGCTCCGGGGCTGAAATAAGGCACTAGGACCGTCTCCCAGGGCCAAGTGAAGCCTAGAAAGAAGACAGGAGGCCATAGGCCCAGGAGGAGGCAGGGAATAGAGTGACCTTGGGGGGATGGGATGGCTCATGCTTTCTTTTTGGTCACACAAGACTTGTGGGATCTTAGTCTCGTGACCAGGTACCAGATATCAAGCCCACGCCCCCTGCGATGGAAGCTCAAGAGTTTTAACCACTGGACCGCCAGGGTAATCCTGGGAAGGTCCATTCTGAGCCAGGGTCCTCAGTCCATTTCACAGATGGGTTCCCCCAGAGACGAGCAGGGACTCATCGGAAGTCACAGCAACTCTGCTTCACTCCTCCAGTATCTTAAGGAAGCTACCAGTGAGTGGGAGCAGGAGGGCTGGAGGGTGAGACCGGCTCCGATGTCCCTGAGTCTCAAGGAAAGGGAAGTGCCTACAGGGCCCCTTCTTGCTTCATTCCATGCCAGCTATGGTTTCCACAGAGCATCAGGCGAGAGCCTCCCACACCTGGCGGCTGTTTGGACAAAGCAGTAAGTCTGTAGGCAAAGCATCTAGTGTGTGCAGGGCCGGAAGTAAGGGTGCTGTGGGCAGGGAGCCAGATTTGAGCTGCATCCTGTTTCTACCCATCTTGCAGATGGGTATGGTGAGGTCTGCCTTCCCTGAAGAAGTGGCCAGGGCAGCCGAGGGAGGCCAACACCCTCTTCAGTCACTCAGCAGGTGCTAGAGCACAGACTTACTCTTTGTCCCTGCCCTCCCCTACTTTCGCTCTCAACTGGCTATATGGCCTAAGGGAGGAGGACGGAGGCTCAGAACAAGCAGGGACATGTCCAAGACTCCTAACCTGATCTGACCCTACCCCAGGTCTTCTCCCTGCCTGGGATGTATTCCCACCCCTTACCTGCAAACACCACCCAAATCCCCAATCCAGCAAACAACCCTTCATGTAAACACTGGTAAGGGGCACTGGCGGGGGTTGAGACGTGGGCCTTCTTTGGGAATCAGAGCCCCCAGGCCTGGGGCTAACGAGGCGTCCTGGTGTTCAGAGGAGGATCTCCTAGCTCCATCAAGGGATCCCCTGAAACCAAGGGGGTCCTGTGGGGCTTCCAAGCACAGAGGCCTTTCTGACCCCATTTCTTGACTCCAGCCCCATAACCTTTCCTGAGTTTCATAGGGTGGATTTGAACAGTTGCTAATCAAGGGAGAAGCCAAGAAACCACCCGAGACAAGATGGAACTGAGAAGCTCACAAAGATTAGACCACCTGAGATGAGATTAAGGGCGTGCAAGCCCTGCTCACACCTTAATGTCATCAAGACCCCCAGTGTTGAACCACTGCGATATAATCCCTCATCTAGTTTTCTGGGGTGGAGACATCGTTTTTCAAGGTAGAAGCCAGGTGTGTCTCCCTTTGCCTGGCAAAGCAGTAAAACTACTTTTCCACTTCACCCAAAACTTTGTCCGGCGGATTTGATTCCTCACTGCTCTATCTGGAGGACAAGCGATTGGTAACACCCCAGACTCCATACGGGGGCGAGGAAGGGGGCATGGCTCGACCGCATATCCTCTAGGTCAAGGGAGTCCTAGCAGACCTGAAAAGAGGGGTCGGTGGCGGGGATTCTGGCTCGGGGGTGGGGGAGATGAGCGGCTCACCTCGGAGCAGCAGCTGCCGCCGTCGCAGGTACGTCTCGGCGGCCGCGTAGTCGCTGGACACGGCGTTGACACCCACGCTTCGGCCCTCGAGCCAGTGCGTGACCGCCCCGCCGCGCGCCGCCACCTCGAGCGCTAGCACCCGCAGCGGCGCCGCCACCTCCAGCAGCACCCGGCCGCACAGGCGCTCGCCGCCGCGGTACGCGTCGTCCGGGCCCCGCGCCAGCTCCAGCGCGAAGCTGCGCACGCCCCCAGGGCGCATGGCGGGGACCAGGGCGGGCGGCGGGGATGCTGTACCAGCGCGGCTCCGCCCGGCGCGCTGCTGGGCAGCGTCTGCCGGCCTCTCTGCTCTCGGTGCTGGTCTTCGCCGCGCCGGACACCCCTCCCGAGCTTTCTCCTGCTTCTGCGAACCTGTGTGGACGCCGCCGGCCCGGGGCCGGCGCGTACTTGGCTGACTTCCTGGTCCTCCGTGTCCGCCCTCGTGACGCGCTCGGGCCTCCGGGGACGTGCCGCCCGCGTGTCCGCGCGCTTGACTTTGCTACCCCCCAGGGCGGGGCGGGTTCTGTTTATGCAGGGTAGGCGCCGTTGAGTCAGAGGCGGGCGGGGGCGGATGTGGCTGGCGCGGAGCAGAGGCAACCACCCGGGGTCTGTCTAGTGGACACAGTCGTCCCCTACCCGGCACCTTTGGACCCGGCGCGGCCCCAGCTCCTCCCCGGCCTTCCTGCCATCATCTGGTTGTTCCCCAAACACACCAAGCTCGGGTCTCGCTTCTTGGCCTTTGCGCCGGCGGTTGCTGCTAGGAACGCCCTTCTCCAGGTCTCCGTCCCCAAATGTCACCTCCTCGGAAACATGCTCTGGACTTAATTCTGTGTGGCTCTGGCCGCTGTGTTTGTGACTGCGGTGGGTTCACTGTAGTGCCTCCTCCAACAGACTGGGTGTCCCCAAGGGTGAGCACTGTGCCCTGTTTTCAGCACCTGATCTTACAGAAGGGGAAACTGAGGCCCCCCAGAAGGGCAGCCGCTGCCCATAGGCGCCCGGCGGCGGCTGACTCAGGACTCGAACCCACGTCTGACCTCAGCCCACCGACACCTCCCCGGATCCTTCTTGTTCTTGTGTCCCACCTATCACCCCCAGGCAGGTGGCCCATGGCCTTATCAGAGGCTGCCAGAGCCTGGGCTCTCATCTGGATCCAGAGTAGCCTCTCTCTCCACAGGGCCCAGCATCTGCCAGGAGCCTGCCTCCCCACCTGACTCCAGCGCTCTGAGCCCAAGGCCTGGAAGGACCTTTCTGATTCTACTTGTCTGAGACCTTCCCCTCCATTCTGCCGCACAGAGGCCTCTCTCAGCCCAGGATCACAGCAGTCCCCTCCCCATGGGTGACCTCCACTGAGTGCATTCTTCCCCTTGGCCTATGGACCGCTGAGTTTAAATCCTGGCTCACCCCCCTTCACTCTGTAGCCCCAGGCAGATGGTTTCACTTCTCTGAGTCTCCCCATCCTACCCTGGTCAGGTTCTGGGGAAGAGTCGTCATTATATTGGCTGTATATATATTGGCTGTATATATATTTAGCAGGTGCTCAATCCATGTTCATCGCGCAGGGAATGGCCCTCCTCACTCTTGTCACCGCCCCCTCTGGACCATGACCGACAGTCCCATTGGAGCCTGGCCCCTACAGGGTGCTCTGGTCCTGGCTATCCACTTCCCTGCGGGCCAGGCCTGGGCCCTGCTCCCTGCAGGATCCCTCTGTGGGTACCAGGTGGGACAGGTGCAGATGTCCGCAGAGAGGTGTGGCGTCCAGGCCCAGGAGACCCCTAGGCCAGGATGGGCTGGGCTCACCTCGACCCCCACATCCGGTCTGGAATCCCCAGGGCCCGGGTGTCCACTGCCAATGTTGTCCACCAGCCACACACAACAGGCAGCAAGTGGGCGGGTCCTGCTTTATTTGGAACCGGCAATGACCCCTCTCCTGGCTGCCCCACACCCACCCGGGGCCTGGAGAGAGCCGAGGGTGGGGGAGGGGCGTGCCGGGGAATCGGGGGGCCAGAGGAAGCTCCAAGCTCCCCCCGCGCCAAGCAGGGAGGAGGCAGATCTGCCCTCGCCTGCCATCTGGCCCTACTCTCGGCCCGAACAGTCTGGGTGGGGTGCAGTGGTTCGGGCCCCAGTCCACTCAGCCCAACTCAGCTTCGGCTCCTTGAACTCCAAGAGGCGCCACTGTACAGGGCTTCTTGGATGGCGTGGAAGTGGCGGCCACACGATGGCCAAAATTGAGGGGTCCGGTGGCAGGCAGGGCTGTCACCCGCAGTCTGAAGGGGCCACGGGCGGCCACCAGTGGGGGGGACTCCGAGCCACCTGGTCTAGGGGGCCGGAGCCAGGCCAGGGCGGCAGGGCGGGCGGGGGCGGGCGTATGGCTTGGGCAATGAGGCCAGGCAGGGCCTGCAGGGAGGTGCCCAGCGCGTCCAGGCGGCTTTCGAGGGCAGCCAGGCGGGCCTCAAGCTCCTCGTGCTGGGCGTGCAGCTCCGACATGAGGTCGTACATGACGTTCTGGGTCTGCCGGACAGAGAGGCGGGAGAGAGAGGAGAACGCAGGTGAGAGAGGGAGGGGTGGGCCCAGGGACGGCAGGGCGGCCCCGGTTGGGCGGCGACCCACTCACTGGGCCTAAGCGAGGGGCAGCAATAAGGGCTCTGCGGGCCAGCCGAAGGTCTCTTGGGTGGGCCCCAGGGAGCGGTGGGAGAACAGGTGAGGCGAGACGCAGGTCCTGAACGCCAGGCTCGGGGCCAGCAGGGAAGGTCCGGGGCCCAGCGAGTGTGACCAGAGTGGCCCTGAGGGGATGAACTAGCCACATGGTGCATAAAATCAGAGGCTGGTCTTGGGTGATTCTGGACTGACGTTGCTCCAGGCTGGGAACACTGTCGAGGGGAGGAGGCTAGGTGAACTGTCCCCCTCTTCCCACATTAGACTGGGGAGGGGATGGGGGTTCTGGAGAGAGGTGACCGCCCCAAGCATCTGACTCCATCACCAGGGGACACGACCGCCACAACAGTCCCTGTTACACCAGGTGGTGGGGCGTCTCTGCCACCTCGGCCGCTTCTCACAACCCAGCAAGCGGGGGTGTCCAGACAGATGAGCCGGGGAGTCGTGGGGGGCGGCGGGACACACGCGGACAGCCCTCGGTGCAGATGTCGCTGTCGCCATCAGGTGGCGCTCGACCGTGGTTCCATTCTCAGCCCAGCTCCCTGCAGACTAGACCCTCCTGCCCCCACCTCCACCCGCCCTCCAGGGGCGGTCCGCAGCTCACCACCCATTCTGGGGCTCGGGCTTGTGTCACGCCACCCTCCCTGGCCATGCTCTGTGGGAGGGAGACTGCTCATCCACGCCACAACACCTTCTTTCTGCACTGTACCCACAGCCTCTCAGCCCCGAATCTTTACCTGGGCTGTGCCTTCCACCCTACTGTTAGTGTAAGCAAATCCCATCCCAGGGTGAACAAATGCCTCTGGGGCCTTCCTAGGGCCACAGACCCTCATCCCAGCCTGCCTCAAGGGACCACACAGTCCCCAAGGCCAGGGAGTAACATCTGGAGGCATCCAGCCCTCCGACTGGAGAAGGAAATGGCAACCCCTTCAGGTATTCTTGCCTGGAGAATTCTGTGGACAGAGGCGGCTGGCAGGCTGCAGTCCGTGGAGTCACAAAGAGTTGGACACGACTGAGCAACTGAACGAACAGCCGCTGGCCGGTTCTTTTTGGCCCTCTCTGAGGTTTAAGCTTTTTTTTTTTTTTTTAAGGTTTACATTTTTATTAGAATATATATTTTGTTTTTGTTGGAGAGATACAAATTAAATCAGCAACCTTGGAAAGCATTAAAATTTAATACTGGAAAACATTTTAACCTCGTTAAATTTTTTAAAAAAATTAGAAACCATATCATCCAATCCAGTGAAAGACTTACTTCAAAGAAGCCTTCCTTAAATGTATTTTGAGAAGAGCATACTACTATAATTATAGGTTTAAATAACTTTAAGCAGTTCACATTTTAATCATCTATATTCATGAAGTAAGTGTGATAATGGATAATGCAGACTATAATATACCTGAGTTTTTCAAAGGCATTTAATATATATATATTTGGAGCTGTTATCTCATTCGCATCATATTAGTTGGCCAAGGACTTCTACATGTTCTTAGGATTATGATCTTTCTACTACCAACTGAATCATTTCTTCAGGCTTCTAGAATGTTTTTTCCTCTGTAACATTCCCTTCCAAATTAAGTTTATGTAAGTTAGTGTTAAATTGCATTCTTTTTTTAATTTTGGCCATACTGCATGGCTTGCGTGATTTCAGTTCCCTGACCAGGGATTGAATCTGGGGCCACAGCAGTGAAAGCCTGGAATCCTAACCACTAGGCTACTAGGAAACTCCCTTAAATTGCATTCTCTTGCTAATGATGAAGAGAGTGAGTCCAAAATGTGATGAGTATGACTAGTAAGATAGAAGAGGACTTCACATTTTCTAAGGATAATATTAAATTGGGCTCAGATCTATTAATTGACTAGGAGATGCGGCCAGTTAGCGAAGTTCATACGTGAACTATTTGTGAGAGGGCAGATGGGAGCTGAGAAGAGCGTGACAAATATACTAAGAGCTTTGCCCACCTGAAGGCGAGGCAGTTGACATATCTTCTAATGGATGAATAGAAAGCTAGAAATCGGATGGGACCTGAAGTTAGAACTAACAAACAGATCCATTTCTAACACAAACTGATCTTACAGAGCTCTGGCAATTAACTTTAATCTCCTCCAAGATATTTAATTGCTATACAAATAAGCTTTCTCCTGAGGCTCCGCTCTCTTGCTTATTTAGTCGCCGAGTCACGNCAGGCTTCCTTGATGGCTCAGATGGTAAAGAATCTGCCTGCAATGCAGGAGACCCAGGTTAGATCTCTGGATTGGGGAGATCCCCTGGAGAAAGGAATGGCAACCCACTCCAGTATTCTTGCCTGGAGAATCCCTTGGACAGAGGAGCCTGGCAGGCTACAGTCCCTGGGGTCACAAAAGAGTCAGACCTGACTGAGCCTCCCCTGAAGGCCCAACCACCCCCTTCTGGCCCCCGGGGCTGCCCCACCTTGCCCTGCCCTTCTTACCTTGGCCAGGTCTGCGAGTGTGTTGGTCTGGTCATTCAGCTTCCCTTGCTCAATCTTCACACTCCGGAGCCTGGGGGACAGGTGGGCAGGTGGGGGTGTGAAGAGGCTGCAGTGGGGTCAGGGGTCTTCCATGCAACTCACCCCACCCAGAGTCACCTTGTGGGGTGTGCAGTCAGGGGATGAGGGGCAAGCTGGAGGTCCCCTTGCAGCCCATCCCCTCCTGGCATGCAGGGGGCAGCAGGGCCTGGGGGATGGTTCACACATGCACCAACCCCCAGGGAAAAGACTTACTTCTGCGCTCTGGTGGGACCCGGCGGAGCAGAGAGAAACCACAAGGCAATTTTAATCTCAGCACAGCTGGGTGGCCCATACCCAAGCCGGCCCACCTCCCATGGGCGGCACCCCAGGGCCAGACTGGGGGCCCTAGACAGCAGAGGGGCAAGCGCCCTTGCTCTTGGGAGAGGTCCAGCCTCTGAGGGGGTGGTGCCAGCCCTCAGGGATGCAGCCGCTCTCTGCTTCCTCTCTCCAGCAGTGCCCTCCCACCAAATGCAGCTGCCTTCAGCCCTGCAGCCGCGCTGTATGCCAGCCTGTACCGAGCTCCCGGCCCTGGAGATGGCATTTAGTCCAGAAAACTGTGCCCACACATTTCCTGAGGGGGAAACCGAGGCTCAGAGCGGGCAAAGCCGGTGCCTACTAGCCTCCTACCAGGACTTGAGCCTGCACTGCCGCTCAGCCTCTGAGACCTTGGCCCTGTGGACGGCTCCCTATGCGGGCGTGGGGGTTTGTCCTCACCCCTTCTCTCCGCCCCTGCTGTAGCTAAGCCAGCCCAGGGAGACCATTCAGGCAGGACTCTTTTTTTTCCTCCTCACTGGTCCAAATTCAAGCCCTGCACATCTAATAGTGACAGACGCTTGGAGAGGACCCTTGGGTCCCACCCATCCTGGGTGTTGTCGGGACCCCTGGGAGGACCCACTTCTCGGTCTGGAGAAGTGGAGGCAGACACAGGCAACCCCAACACTGGAAGTCTGGGGGTGCCCTGGAGAGGATAACAGAGGCTTGCTAAGGAGCCACAGACATGCCTGCCCTGGGGAAGTCATTCTTGGCATCTCTGGAACCTTCCTGTTACAGGTTGAATGGTGTCCCCACAAAAGACATACTGAAGTCCTAACCTCCAGCACCTCACAATGTGACTGTTTGGAAATGGAGTCTTTACAGATTTAATCAGGTTAAGATAACTGGTATACTGGTATCCTTATAAAAGGGGGAAATTTGGACACAGGGAAGGAGAATGATGTGAAGACATAGGGAGAGCATGTGAAGATGAAGGATCGGAGCAATGCTTCTATGAGCCAAGGAGCGCCTGGGGCTGCCAACAGCTAGGAGAGATGCCTACGACAGATCTTCCCCTAATGTCCTTGGAGGGAGAATGGTCCTGCCAACACCTTGATTGTGGACTTCTGGCCTCCAGAGTGGTGCAATCACAAATTACGTGTACGCTGTATGCTGTGTCCTGTCTGTACCCTCTGAGTCTATGTCTTCCTTTCCACTGGCTGCTTACACCGCACTCCCATCATGGGGACTCTCCAGCCCAAGAAGATGCCATGGCTCCCTCACACTTGTTGGTGGCACCTCTCATCTGCTGGGCACTGTGCTCCCACCTCCCACCCTTGTCCAAACTGTGCACACTCCTTGGTATGCATACCCACCTCTTGGTTTCCTACCCAAATCCCATCCATCTTTCAGGCCCTAGTTCAAATGTGCTTGATTTCATCAGCTGTTCTTATAAGGCCACTATTTGGGGAGGCTGGTGCAGGGGGACCTAAAGGTGAGTGAGATAGTCCTGCCCCAGAACAAAAGAACACAGGGAACTCACAGAGCAGGTGCCTTCTCCACTGACCTAACTGTCCTCAATTCCTACCCTCCCACTTCTCCCAGAGAACTTTCAGGGATATCCCTGAGAGTAAGGTCCAGAGCAGAGACATGTCTGTGCCCCCCATGCCTGGCACACCAGTTGGTGGAGGAAATTCTTGTGGCTTAACCAAATGAACATATTGAGGATGTCAACAACAACACCAGTTCCCATTTTCAGAAAATACTGTGTGGTAGGCAAGTGCAGGCAAGTCATCTGGTCACCCCAACTGTGTTTCAGCCACACTGCATTCCTGGAGAAGAGGGATGTCACCACTGTTTCCACTTTACAGATAAGAAAATGAAGCTTGAAGTAGCATAGTCACTTGCTCAGGCCCCACAGTTAGGTGGCAGAGACCAGACTGGGACCCTGTGGTCAGTAAACAACTTTGAAGGGTCAAGAAGGAGAGCTGTAGGGTCTTGTGAGGAAATAGGACAAACACCTGGGCACAGTGATGCCAAGGAAGTGGGGCACTGATTTCTTCCCCTGCTTCGTAGGTGATTATGGAAGCAGAGGTTGGGGGTCCCATGTGTTACTGAATACTTGCTCTGTGCCATGAACTATGCCAGGCATTTTTGCATATCACTCCATTTAGACCTCCCCACAGTCTTGTGAAGTAGAGATTGTGATCATGAGAAATTAATTCAATCATAACAATAAACACAATGGATTAAACTCTAGCTAAACAACAAGGATGGTACAGTAAACACAATAAATGTTAATGGACTAAAGTCTCTAGTTAAAAGACAAGGATTATTGGGGCTCAAGAAGACTTCTAGGTCAATGAATCTGTTCATTATCTTGACTGTGGTGACAGTTTCATGGGGGTACACATATGTTAATACTGATCAAACTCTGCACTCTAAATAGCTGCAGTTGACTGTATGTTGATTATACTTTAATAAAGCTATTCTTTAAAAAGAGGCAAAATGAGTAACCAGGATTTAAGGAGTTAAAGTGAGCTAGCTGAGCTTCCTCACTCATGGTCTGGTCTTCTACAGCCACACTCTGCTACGCTGTGGCGCCCCAGTAGCTGCCCACACTAGCCATGACCTGGAGTCTCCCCACAGCAAGCTGCCTGACTCTCCTGCTCACACAGGGGTTGGCAGTGTTGCTTCCGATCTCTGTTCCTTATGGCTGACTTGATTGCCTTCCTGTTGTACTAGCTCAGACCCTAACACTGTTTGCCTCACTCTGATTCATCAGCCCCTGAGTCTGGTTGAGGAGTTATTAGGGCAAGAATCCATCTGATTTTCCCAGGGAAGCCCAATTGTGAATGAGGTTTTCCAGAATGTAAGAGCTGGGGATACATAGGCTCATTCTGAAAAGTGCCTTAAAATGCTTAAAAATTTTAAATCAGCTACTATGTGACTCAACTCTAATTTATTGTTGAGTGCCGGATCCCACAGAATTTGGACCTGTTTAAATTCTAGACTGTGCACTGTCCCATACCTCCTATATGTAGCTAGTGAACCTTGAAATGTGACTTGTCTGAATAAAAACAGGTTGTAAGTGTAAAATACCCACCAGATTGCAAAGATTTAGTATCAAAAACTTTCTGAAATATTAATGATTTCTATATTAATCACATATTAGTAACTGATAATGATTTTTATATATTAGGTTGAATAAATATATTAAAATTAATTTCACTTATTTCTTTTCACCTTTTTAAGACGTGGGTACTAGAAAATTTTAAACTATGTATGTTACTCACATAATATTTCATGTGGACAAGTGATTGGCATATTATGGTTTATAGGCCAAATTCTGGGCAGCTGTTTGTTTTAGAAAACACAGTTCTATTGGTTCATAGTCACACCCATTCACCTTGCTGCCTTCGCTACAACAGCAGAGCTGAGTAGTTCCAACAGAGACATTCTGGCCCACAAAGCCCGAAATAATTAATATCTGGTCCTTTACAGAAAAAGTCTGCCAACTCTGGCTGAACATTGGATTCCCCTGAGGAACTTAAACTTGAGCTCAGGCTGTATCCCAGACTCTACTGTAATTGGCATTCGGTATGGCCTATGGGATTTTAAAAAGCACTCCCTAGGTCACTCCAATGAGCAGTCAACATGAGAACTACTTGATTAAATAATTCTCAGGAAAAAGGGAAACAGAGAAAATTAAGTGATCTCTGATTACCACACATGATCATACAAACCAGGCCACAGATTTAATTCTGAGCTTCCTGGAAGGCAAAGCAAAAAGGGGAAATTGCTTTAGTGCCCAAGGGGAAAGGCATTTTGGCTATTCCAGAGAAGAAAATATGCTTCCTGCCACTTATGTTGGGTGGTCTGCATGATTTATCAGAGGTGATTGTCCTGGAAAAGGGCTGGTCCCACTATCCCACCCAGCACAGAAGCCGTAGTCCCCAACCAACTGACCGCCCGGAAGGGGAATGGTCATGATGTATGTGGCCACGGCGAGCTGTCTGGCCTAGTCTGCAGCCTCCTCCCCGCGAGCCAGGGCTGCCTCTGTGCCCGGTGGACACAGAAACGCGAGTGGGAAAGGTGCTGGACTTACTGATGGATGGCTTGGAGGAACTTACGCTGGTGTTTCCGAACCCGGGCCTGGTCTGGCTTTTTCACCAGCCTGGTGTGTTTGTAGATGAGCCACGTCTCCCTGAGAACGTTAGCAGCGGCGTTTTTTACCTGAGGCCAAAGAAAGAACATTTCCTTGCTGCTGCTGCTGCCGCTCAGCTACTCAGCTGTGTCCAACTCTCTGTGACCCCACAGACTCTAGCCCGCCAGGCTCCTCTGTCCATGGGATTTTTCAGGCAAGAATATTGGAGTGGGTTGTCATTTCCTCCTCCAGGGGATCTTCCCGACCCAGGGATCAAACCTATATCTACTGCATGGACAGGTGGATTCTTTACCACTGAGCCACCTGGGAAGCCCCGAGTAGACACAAAACTATGGAAGGCTCTGGAAACTTCTAGAAGCTTCCAGAAACTCCCAGAAACTGGAATGGAAGTGTCCCTCTGGGGCCCTGGGGCTGTAAGGCAGGGCCATGTTTAGCCAGCCACATCTGTACTCTGTGTGTGTGCATGCACGCGTGCCTGACAAACATCGCTCACCACAGGCCAGACCCTTTCTATACATCTTGCTAATATTAACTGGGTGAATCTCCACATGGTGGGATCTCTCTCACTTTATATATGAGGAAACAGGCACAGAGAGACCCATCTGCTGAGGTCATACAGCTTATAAGCTGCACCCAGCTGCCTGATGATGACGCCCCTGCCTCTTGTTGAGCGGCCCGCGGCTGGGCTGTGACTGAGCGTGAAGTGGACAGCTGTGGCCACAGCCACGACTCTGCACAGCTCAAAGGCGTTCACACGGCGGTGCCGCTCAGGGCTCTCTGGGCACACACAGGCAGCAGGGTGAGACCCAGGGGCACACGTGCAGAAGGTGGGGAGAGCCGGCCCGGAGGACCAGGAGGAGAAATGGCCGTGAGGGGCTGGTGTCCGTACCCGCTTGGTGAGCTGAGTGTCCATCATGAAGTTGTGCACGTGTTTCTCTGCCTTGGTGAGCTCCAGCTTCCGGGCCACCACAGCCACCACGAGTGCCGTGCAGCCAGCCCCCTGCATGAAGAAGGTGAGGGGGCATGTCAGAATCCACCTCATACGGGTCGCAAGTAGGACCCCCTCCCTCCTCCAGGACGCCTTCCTGGTTCCCCCCTCACCTTTGCCCTCCAAACCTGCAGGGTTGGCAAATCTCATGTTCTGAGTTCACTGACTCCAAACCCCCCTTGCTTAACACCACTGAATGTCCAGGGAGTCTGTGCCATACATTAGTCCGTTTGATTCCCAACAACCACAGGAGGCAGGACCACTCTTATCCCTCTTGGGCAGAGGGGAAAAGTGAGGCTCAAAGATAAGAAAAAGGACAAGACGCAGGCAGAATCTGCATGTGCATTTGGGGCTGATGCCCATGGAGGTGGGAGGATGGGAAGAATTCCATCCGGGCTTTGGGGTCTACATGATGGAGACAGAGACCCAGCTGACATGTTGCTGACTGGTAATGCAGCTAACTGGTAGGGTCAGAAGGGTGGTGAGAAAGAAGATCAGGTCAGCCGACCATGGTGGGGCGTTTTCAGGACAGAAGAGGCAAAGTGTAGGTCCCAGGATGCGGGGAAGTAAAAGGAGAGGTTGTCTCCCCTGTGGTGGGGCTCCTGCTCTTAGCAACCACCCTCCCCAGTATGTCCTGAATGGCAGCCAGTCCCCCAGTGAGGGAAGGAGGCCAGAGAGGACTTGTTTGTCCACTTGGCAGCCGCCTGAGAGGCAGAAGGGCAGGCGGGAGGACCCAAGGAGGAGGGCGAGGCTGCCAGGCAGGAATGGGGGCACAGTGAAAAGTGATGGAGGAGGGAGAGAAAGGGGGCATTCAGCCTTGAGAATCGGGATCCTGGGAACACAGGACATCCAGCTGTCGTCAGCCCAGCAGTGGCCAGGAGGGGGTGGCAGGGGCCACCGAGGGGCCGCCGAGGGGCCGGAAGGTGGCTCCCTGACTGTACCAAGGCTCTCTCTGGCACCTCACCCGCCCACTGCTTCCTCCTGTGGGTGCTGCATACAGGATGGAAGGAAGGAAGAGACCCAAACCCAGCCCCGGGGGACCAGGGGAGCGGCTAGTTTTTCTTACAGATGGAAGCAAACATTTACGGGGAAGGGTGGGCACAAAGTCTCCCCTTGAGGAGATCCCACCATGCATTTCTGGCCAGGATATGGGTCTGGGGAGGACTCAGGAGTCTGTGTTCAAGAAAAGCCCTGTCTAAAACATTCTCTGACATAAATCGTACCAATGTTTTCTTAGGTCAGTCTCCCAAAGCAATAGAAATAAAAATAAACAAATGGGAACTAGTCAAACTTACAAGCTTTTGCACAGCAAAGGAAACCACACACATACACACACACACAACACACACACACACACAAAAAGAAAGAAAAGACAACTTACGGAATGGGAGAAAATATTTGCAAATCATGTAACAGACAAGGGCTTAATTTCCAAAATACACTGACAGCTCATACAACTCAACAACAAAAACCAGCCCCGTTGAAAAATGAGCAGAACACATTAATATATATTTCTCCAGAGAAGACATACAGATGGCCAATAGGCACATGAAAAGATGCTCAACATCAGCAACTGTGAGAGAAATGCAAATCAAAACTATAATGAGGTACCTCCTCACACCTGTCAGAATGACCACCATTAAAAAGTCTACAAATAACAAATACTGGAAAGGGTGTGGAGAAAAGGAAACCCTCCTACACCGTTGATGGGAATGTACATTGGTTCAGTCACTACGGAAAACAAGTGTGGAGGTTCCTCAGAAAACAGAAAATGGAATTACAGCAATTCCAGCAATTCCACTCCTGGGCATATATCCAGACAAAACTACAATTCACAAAGGTACATGCACCCCTATATTCAAAGCAGCACTATTCACAATAGCTAAGAAGTGGAAACATCTAGATATCCACTGACAGACGAATGAATACAGAGGATGCGGTACATACATACAATGGAATACTACTCAGCTATAAAAAAGAATAAAATAAGGCCTCTTGCAGCAACATGGGTGAAACTAGATAATATCATACTAAGTGAAGTAAGTAAAAAAGAGAAAGACAAATACCACATGGTATGATTTACAAGTGGAATCTAAACCGTGGCACAAATGCACCCATCTGCAGAACAGAAACAGACTCAGACATGGAGAACAAACGTGTGCCTGTCAGCTGGGAGAGGGAAGTGGAAGGGAGGGAGTGGAAGTGTGGCGTTAGCAAATATAAACTATTATATATAGAATGGATAAACAACAAGGCCCTACTAATATAGCATAGGAGACTATATTTGGTATTCTGTGATAAACCACAATGGAAAAGAATATGTAATAAAAAGGATGCTTTATGTGTATAACTGGGTCATTTTCTATAAGCAGAGATTGGCACAACGCTGTAAATCAACTATACTTCAATAAAAATTAAAAAAACAAAAATCCCTGTCAACTGGGGCACAGAACATATTGGGAACCTCCATGTGGAATACTATGCAGCCAGGAAAAAGATGGGCTGATGGCCAATGTGCCACACAACAGCACAGATGCCACATCCAGCAAAAGACTCTGAGTTTAGAGGAGGCCATGCTGGGATGCCTTGAAGTTCAAGGATGAGCAAATGTGTGTTTTATAACATATTGGAAGGGGGTGGGCCATGGAACAGTGACAGGGAGGAGACACACTTGTACAAGGATGGAAGAGGAGACAGTAATAGGAGAATAAGAAACAGAAAGTGGCTTGAAAGACCAAGGTGTGGCTTCATGTGACCCCTGGCTATGTGGTAACAGAAGAGCAAGAAATATCTCTGGGTATAAACACTCCTGCATTTGCTGGAGTTGAGGGCCAGGAGTGAGCTGCAGGCTAAATACCAAACTGATTTTCTGGAAGGAGGCTCATCCCAGTGGAGAGAACATGGCTTTTCTGTTTCACTGTGGGTTTTCTGGGTTTAAAGTCATCTTATCTGAATACTTTGGTTTTTTTAATTTGTAAAGTTCATTTGAGTTCTTCCCTGGTGGCTCAGTAGTAAAGAACTTGCCTGCCAATGCAGGAGGTGCAGGTTTGATCCCTGCATCAGGAAGATCCCCTAGAGAAGGGAATGGCTACCCACTCCAGTATTCTTGTCTGGAGAACTCTATGGACGGAGGAGCCTGGCAGGCTATAGTCCAGGGGGTCACAAGAGTTGGACATGACTGAGAGACTGACATTCTCACTTTTCTTCATAGCAGTGGTTCCAGGGGGGGTTGCTGATAAGGCTCAAGAGTGTATGCATTCCTTTAACCTGGCCTCAGGTGGTCTCTGGATGAGCTTCTGTGGTTCTTGTGGTTATCAAACTGACCTCTCTGGAATGAAGACTGCTTCACCAAGTATTTCATCATCTTCCATTGGTTGGAGGTTTTAGTTCTGTAGAAGAGCTCAAAGCTACTATGATGTGTCTCCTGAGGCAGAGCCGGGACCCTGCCCCAGGGCGGCACTGTGGTTTCCCGGCTGCTCCTCTCCTGAGGGCCGTATCCCCTCCCCTGATCAGCAACTGTCTGAAAGGTTTCTGTGCCCACAGGGTCCTGCTCAATTTCAATTTGTGAAAAAATTAACACAAACAAGCCAAAGGAAGCCAACCTAATTCCCCCCATGGTCCTCCCCAGGCCACTTATTTTCCTTTGTAGAGAAATGCATTTGTCCATACAAAAGTCCGTCATCATCCCCACCTTGGTTTTCTTTCCTCCCGCAGGAGGAGGGGCTGTGTTTCCATTGGGTCCACTCAGCCCCCTTCACTGCACGTTGACTGTCCCATGCTGCACCATCTCCCCGGGCCCACGGCGCTCTCCCCTCTTCACCCCTTGTCTCTTTCTTTTTGGACACAAGCTGGGAGTACACATCCTCCTCTGGCCCCCACTGGGTCCTTGCTTCTACAGGCTAAGCTGACCCAGCCCTCTCTTAGTTAAAAGGCATTATGCATGTTTCTTTATGTTATTTCACAATCTACTCCAGCACACCACCCCCAGCAAATTAAATTTGTTGTTGTTCAGTTGCTAAGTTGTGTCCGACTCATTGCGACCCCGTGGACTGTAGCCCACCAGGCTCCTCTGTCCGTGGAGTTCTCCAGGCAAGAATACTGGAGTGGGAAGCCATTCCCTTCTCCAGGGGACCTTCCTGATCCAGAGATCGAACCCAGGTCTCCCGCATTGCAGGCAGATTCTTTATCGCCTGAACCACCAGGGAAAACTCCACCCTGGAGCCACTGCCATGAAACCCTTCACCAAGTCCTCCCGGCTTGGGACACACAGTTTTGAGGGGCACAAGCCTGCTGGGTCCCCTTTTGTCTGGCAAAGCAATAAAGCTATTCTTTGATATTTCACCCCAAACTCTATCTTCAAGATTTGACTTGAAATCAGTACACAGAGGCCAAGTTCTGGCATCAAAATGAACATGTTAACTGGGGGCTAGGGATAGGTGTTCCCGACCATATGTCAAGTAAGTCATAATTCAAAACATGGAAAAGCACTGATGGAGATCAAAGAAGCTTGGAGAGAAAGAAGGTTCCAGAAGGAAGGGATGGACAAGGAACCTAATGATCGAATCATGGTAAAGACAAGGCACCAGACGTCAAAGGTTGCCCACACAAGCAGACGAACATAGGAAGACTTTAGGGAAGACAAGGTGCCGCCTGGGCCCACAGAGTCATGAGATAAACTTCACACCCGAGGGGCTCAGAGGGATGTCAGCACACCCTGAGTGTTAGGCAAGGATGGGGAACTGGGTTGTGACGGCAGGTTCAGGGGGTATTGACTGGGTATCTGAGGCATTCATGGCTTTAGGCATTTCACCAAAGTGAAGGGACTGAGTCCCTGCAAGAAGCAGAGGGAGTGGGCACTGGTTACAGCCAGGGAAACCAAGGCACAGAAGCATCGAGCCCCTCGCCCTGGATCCAAGGACCGTGAGTTAAGTGGGCTGTGGGGCATAAAGGGGCAATGGTGACTCTTGGTTCAGAGTGGACCACAGCATCTGGCCTGGCGGGCACAGAAGACGCTGTATGACTCAGGCTGGAAGGAGCCAGAAGAGATGTCCCCTGGAAGCCTAAGGGCTGGATTTCATGTCACATCAGAGGGAAGGGGCAATGGAGGGCTGACACAGGGAGGAACTTAGAGCAGGCCCAGCTCGAAATGGGGTGAGCTCCCGTCAGTGGGGACATGCAGGGGCCCTCGCCCTTACCATGATGCCGGTGAGCAGGCACACGCCCTTCCCGCAGTAGGTGTGGGGCACCATGTCGCCGTAGCCGATGGAGAGGAAGGTGATGGAGATGAGCCACATGGCCCCCAGGAAGTTGCTGGTCACTTCCTGCTTGTCGTGGTACCTGAAGGGGAGCCAGGGAGAGCCTAGTCAGTCCACACTGGTCCCTCTGCCTTCATCACATCCCCAGGGGCCGTGCCAGAAGGCAGGGCCCTGGGTCCATCTGACTGCACGGGGGCCTTGACTGCAGGAAGCTGACCATGCTGGAGGCTCAAAGTGTCCAAAGCGTTGCTTCAGGGAAGTGTGGGGCAATGGTTAGTAACCAGGACAGCCCATGGTCCTCCTGAGGATACCACAGGGCAGAGGGCACCCATACCCTCCTCCCAGCATCCCTTCCAACACCCTCCATTCCCCTGACTGCCAAGCTGCTCGTTATGGGGCAGTAAGGGGTCCAGGGGAGGGAGCGTCCACATGTGTCCACGCATAAGCACACGATCCCCCTCCCAAAGACAGACACACAGACAGATGCAAACACGGGTGGCCATGGGCACCAGAAGCGGCAGGAAGTAGAGGCAAGGATTCAAGTCAGACACCAGGAAGAACTTCCCTAATCAGCAAGGCCCTGAGGAGGGAGGAGGACTCCACGGGGGGACAGAAGCCTGGAGGAGCAAGCCCTGGGGATGGGAGTCCTAGGACAGTCAATATGTGGAGGGCAATTGCTCCAGCTTCAGGCCTGAGAATCTTCTGGTGTTAGGAGGGAAAGGCGGCAGCATGTTTAGCTCTGGGGAGAGACCTGGGACTCAACTTTTGTTATTCAAGAGGACAGATTCCAAGGCCTTGCAAAGGGACATGATTTTTTCCAGTCAAAGCCAAGCCTGAGACCCTGGCTGCATAGGCTACGAACTGGTGCTATCTATGGTCAGCCCAGGCTGACCACAGAGGCTGAGGGACTGGTGCTCTGGATCTGGGGGTGGTTCAAAGCTTTGCTCCAGCCCAGTCCCCTGCCTGCAAAACCCCTCCAGCTCAGGGAGGTCAGGAAGCCCTTCCCACATGACGCCTCTCCTTTTGGGCCACAGAAGCTGGGCAGGGGGAGCTGCTGGGGAGGGCTGTTCCAGGCAGAGGGGGCTGGGGTCAGGGGCTCAAGATAAGGAGGAGATGGAGACTTCCCTGGAGGTCCAGTGGTTAGGACTCCGAGCTTCCAATGCATGGCACACAGGTTCAATCCCTGTTCAGGGAACTAAGATCCCACATGCCATGGGGCGTGACCAAAAACAATTTTAAAAGACAAGGAGGAGATGGAAACCCAAAAGGTGGGAAGGAAGGATGGAGGCCTTTCCATTCAGCCTGGGCTTCCAGGCTGCCTGCTGGGTGAGGGGCGCCAGGGACAGAGCCTCGTCTTTCACTGTGGCACCTGAGCCTGAAGCTGCACCAGCTTCCACTTCTCCAGAGACCAGCACCCCACACCCAGGAGGCAGGAGGAGCCAGGAACCTATCAGCCGTCGGCCATGGGCGCGGAGGCTCCAGGCCCGGCTGGAGCTCTGGTGGGGGCTACAGGGTCACCCCGGACCAGGGAGTTGGGGGCATGCAGGAGGTGGGGTGGGACAGAGCCACGGGGGTGAGCGAGGCGGGCGAGGGGGCGTCAAGCGGGGTCTCAGGGCTCAGAATTTAGGATTGGCTGCCCCTGGCCTTGCCCCGTGCCCCGCCCTCACCAGGCGCCCCTGCAGTGACCCAGCCTGGACCTCAGCCATGCCTGCACCCTCTCCCACTCCCCAGCGCCCAGCCCTCGGGTCTGTGGGAGCTGGCACACAGGCACATCAGGGGAATAAGGAGCCCTCATGTGACCCTCAGCCTTGGGGATGGGAAGAGCTGGGCCCTCTCTGCCAGGAGCCCCTCATCAGGCGGAGGCGGGGTTGGGGAGGGGACAACTGAAGGGGTGAGGATTGGGGTTCTGGGGACAGGTCTGGCCCAGGGACCTCCCAGGAAGCCCAGTGCCAGCACCACCCATTACAGCCCCTACCCAGCTCATCAAGAGGCAAGAGAGACCCCCTCCCAGACAAGGCATTTCGCTGCCCTGAGAGATCCAGGGAGACCGTTCCCCCTCCATGAAGCCCCGGGGGAGGGAAGCAGGCATTGGGCCCTCAGGGTGTCCCTTTAGCTCCTCAGAGCCTCATTGTTCTCATCTGTAAGTTGGCTGGATGGCCCTGCACCGTCCAAGGCCCGTGTGGGGGTCTGAAAAGCTGGGACTGTGCTTGTTCATCCCAGACCCACTGAAGGAGCGGTCCCTGCCCCCTGGGGCCAGCCGCCTCAACAAGGCACCAGAGCTAAACTCCTCTTCCCTCTGCTGCCCTCTCCTTGGTGGCAAGGGTCCGAGGGATGCCCAGAGCACCAGGCCCGAGAGTGGCCCAGGCCCACCTGGCTGGTGGCACTGGGACAGCTCTCCCCACGGCCCGTGGGCTCTGGGCGGGTCCCAGACACCCGCCTCCCCTTTCTGCTCCCTCCCCTGGTGGCAGCTGATCTTAAATTCCTGGCGGGCAGGACAGCTGGCAGCTTTGCACACATAGGTCGGCTGAGGGTAGGACTCACATGTTTTCCCTACAGTCCGGCAGGGTGGGCAGAGGGGAGAAGGAGAGCAGGTTAAATTGTGGGGGACGCAGGTGGATGGAGGGGGCCCCTGTTCCTGCTGCCTCCACCACCCTGGGCCAGAGACGGGGCCAGTGGAGGGGCCCCTGGAGGGAGGGGAAGCGGGAAGAGGGATGGGGTCCTGGAGGGGTTAGGGTCAGGGTAGGAGCTGGGGGTGGCTGGGGACACGGGGCTGGAGTCCCAGGGATGAGGAAGCTGATGTGAGAGTCGCTGAGGCCAGGAACCAGGGGGAGGGGTCAGCAGGATCAGGGGTCACGGGGATGGAGCCATGGGTAGGTACGGGGTTCAGCAGGGTCAGAGTGGCGGCTGGGGGAGCCCTGGGGTCACTAAAATCGTGGATGGGCCTGAGGGTCATGGGGGGTCAGGGCCCAGGGGGTCAGGGGCGCACCTCTCGCAGACCCGCACGGTCCAGGCAGCGATGATCCAGGAGGAGATGCTGAAGACCAGGAGCACAGTGCCCGGGCAGATGGTCATGAGCGTCTTCATGACGAAGCGGGTGTTGAAGGTGATCTTGTTGAGGGCTCCGATGCTGCGGCTGGAGGCATCCGTGAAGATCTTACTGTGCAGCAGCATGACGCGGCCCAGCAGGTAGAGGCGCAGGAACATGGGCACCGACAGCAGCACGTCCACGTCGGCCTCGGCCGCCGACGGCGCGTAGGTGAAGGCCAGCCGTGCCGTCCACGTGAAGCGGTAGTGGCCGGGCACCGGGTGGATGGCGCACACCGCCAGCTCCAGGGAGATGAGGAACACGCGCTCGCACGTCATGGCGATGCGCCAGTCGTCCGCCCCGTTGTCCACCATGAACAGCTGCGGAGATCAGGTGAGCAGGACGCAGTGGGTGCTGGACATGTGCCCAGGCCACGGAGGGAGATCCCAGCCCCAAACCGCATCCGCTTTTATAACAAACATGGCCTCAGAGGCGAAACCCCCTAGTGCTCAGGGTCGGCCACAATTCAAGCTAAAGAGGGCACAGGTGTTCCCCCAAAACACAGAGTTACCAATGACCCAGCCCTCCCATTCCTAGGTATATGGGCGAGAGAGATGAGAACAGTTATTCAAACACATCCTGTGTGCGTGCAATCACAGTAGCACTGTTCACAGGCGCCCAACGTAGAAACTACCCAACGTCCATCCAGGGATGCAGAGAGAAACAGAATGTGGTCCTTCCACAAGTGGAACGTGTCCCAGCCATGAAGAGGAGTGCAGCGTGGGCATGCTACTCCGTGAAGACATCATGCTGAGTAAAAGAAGGCAGTCACAAAAGGCCACCGACTAGGGTGAAGGAGGCAATGCTGCCGCCTCAGGAGGCCTGGAAGGTGGGGCGCTGAGCCAATGAGCATCATTCTCCAACCTTCACACCCAATGGAATTTGCCTGGGCAGGTCTGAGACAAGTTTAGGACCTGTCACTCCTCTCCTTGCACATTTTTCGGCTTCAGGGATGGGAATGTCTCTCCTATGCTAGTCCCACCACTGTACTTTGGAAGCACACAACTTATCTGATTCACAGCTGGAGGAATATTTTGTCTCCAGGGGAACTGTACCTCAAGTCTCACCCATGTCTGTTTTAGATGATACTTAGCCTGCCAATCTAGGAGATGTAAGAGACGCGAGTTTGACCCCTGGGTCGGGAAGATCCCTTGGAGTAGGAAACTGTAACCCGCTGCAGTATTCTTGCTGGGATAATCCCATGGACAGAGGATCCTGGCGGGCTATACAGTCCATGGGGTTGCAAAGAGTCAGACACAACCAAGTAACACAACACACACATGTAAATATAATCTTTCTTTCTTTTTTCCTTTGACCGCATGGCACAGTACATGGGATGTTACTTCCCTGACCTGGGATCGAACCTGGGCCCCTGAAGTACAGGTGTGGATTCTTAACCACTGGACCACTGGGGAAGCCCCTAGATGATATTTAAAGGAGATTTTGGACTTTGAGTTGATGCTGGAATGTATTAAGACTTCAGGGGCTGCTGGGATTGATGCATTTTGCATGGGAGAAGGACATGGATTTGGGAGGTGGGCTAGAGGGTGAAGAGTTATGGACTGAACTTTGTCCACTCAATATTCAACTGCTAAGGCCCTAGCCCTCAATACGACTATATTTGGAAATAGGGCCTTTAAAAATATAATCAAGATTAAATGAGGTCATAGGGGTTGGGCCCCCATCATACAGGACTGGTGTCATTCTAAGAAGGGTATATACAGGGGTATATGTGCATAGAGGGGTGTATGTGAATAGAGCAAAGGCCATGAAAGGTCACAATGAGAAGACAGCTGCCTGCAAGTCAAGGAGAGAACCTCAGGAGAAACCAACCCTGCCAGCACCTGACCTTGGGCTTCCAACCTCCAGAGGTGTGAGAGAATACATGTGTGTGTCAGTCACTCAGTCATGTCTGACTCTTTATGACCCCGTGGACTGTAGCCCGCCAGACTCCTCTGTCCATGGGATTTCCCAGGCAAGCATACTGGAGTGAGTTGCCATTTCCTTCTCCAGGGGATCTTCCCAACCCCGGGATTGAACCCAGGTCTCCTGCATTGCAGGTGGATTCTTTACTATCTAAGCCACCAGGGAAGCCCCATGAGAAAATATACTTCTGTTGTGTAAGATGCTCGGCTGTGGTGCTGCAAACATACAGTGCTTCATTCTTTTCTGCTTTGCTGAACAGTACGCCATTGTATGGATGGACCACCATTCGTTTATCCATACATCAGTCAATGGACATTTGGGGGGTTTCCACCTTTAGGCAATTGTGAATAATGCTGCTCTGAACACGTGGGTACACGTTTTTGTGTGGATGTAGTTGTTTCTCCTGGGTGTGTAACTTGGGGTGGAATTGCTGGGTCATATGGTAACTCCATGTTTAACTGTTTGAGGAACTGCCAGGCTGCTGTCCCTTTAGAATTGCTTCCTTCACTTCAAGGGTCACCATCCTCCTACCCCAACCCCTAGCCAGACTGAGGACCCCTCCCGTGTACCAGACTCTGGGTGTCCACTGACAGGTCTGCATAGAGTACAACCTAGGTAGGATTTTCCTACACCCACCTCCTGCCAGGCTGTGGCTCCTTGAGGTCAGGGGTCATCAAAGGCCAGAGTCAGAAGCCAGATCTGACCCCCTTTGGTGTCCCCGGGCCCTGGTGCTGGCCTGTTGTGGTAACACCTGCCTTACAAGCCCTGAACTTGGCTCTCCAGGGACCTGACCAGCTTTTGATCAACCCCTGAAATAGAAGAATCCCTGGCACATGAGAAATCTTTCAAACACAGGTCCAGTGGACTAGGAGGAGCCTGGTGCCACAGACACGGACTCTGTGGCTGCAAAACCTCAGAAGACCCCAGGGCTGCACAACCAATCCACATGCACCTCAGAAGCCCAGCCCACTGCCTGCTCTCTCACTGTTTCATCTTCTTTACCAAATTATCGATGAAAAGTAAAATGATGACAGGCATTCCAGGAAATTTAGAGTGATCTAAACAGTGTGTTTCCATGGAGATCTCCCCCATCACCCCCTTCTATAAAGTCGCTATTGATCCTTCTATGTTTTAGAGGGTTCCCAGGTCCTGGGGGCTTCCCAGCTGGCAGTAGTGGTAAAGAACCCGCATGCCAATGCAGGAGATGCAAGAGACGCGGGTTCAATCCCTGGGTCGGGAAGATCCCCTGGAGGGGGAAATGGCAACCCACTCCTGTATTCTTGCCTGGAGAATCCCATGGACAGAGGAGCCTGGCAGGCTACAGCCCAAGGGGTCACAAAGAGTTGGACACAACTGAACGTGCACGCATGAAGGTGGCTGGTGTGGGGGGCTCTGGGGTGCAGAGAGGGGAGCTGTCCTAAGCCCACTGAGCACTGACCTGGATCTCTCGGGCATGGTAGAGGATGACCAGGCCCAGCAGGATGACCGTGGAGAGGCTGATGAGGCATTTGAGTGCAAATGAGTACAGGGATTCCTGGGCAAAGAGAGAGCAGAGTGCAGGACAGACACTGTGGAGGTGGGCAGCCCTCCTGACCCCCCGACCTGGTCACTTCGCTCGAGAAATGAAGCTCCGGTCCTTACTCCTTAGGCTTGGGCGCACAGCAAGGTGGCATTTCAGTTTATAAGGCCAGGCCTCACGTGGGCACAGCACTTCATAGTTTATAAAACCAGGCCTCGAGCAGACGCAGCACTCTACAGTTTACAGGCTGACTTAGCTCTCATCTCCCTCCGTCCTGGTATCCACTTGGGGGACCCACAACCAGGCTCATAACCTGGCCCAGCTGGCCCTCGAAAGGAGCAAAGTTCCTTCCCTGCTCCTCAAAGCGGGTCTTCTCTGGTGCTCCCCTGTCTCCTCCGGGCCTGACCTGGAAGCAACCCCCTTCCCACCTTCAGCGAAAGCGCAGCCCCACGGTGCAAGATGCAGGGAAGGGGCTGGAGACTTCAGGCCCCACCCGAGGCCTTCCTGCTGCCCCCAGGGGGTGGAAACAACAGGAGGCCCTGGGTGCCCCCCACCTTCCCACCTCCAGGGTCCCCTCAGGGTTCCCCGCCCCCCTCTCCTAGGGCCGATGTGGTCCCAGACCCCAGGCCCAAGGGGGTCTCGGGGAGCCAGGTGGGACCAGCAGGGCCTCCCCGGGGTGCCAGGGGGAAGGGCCAGGCCTACCTTGGTGTAGACCCCCCAGGACAGCTCCGTCTCTGTCACCATGACAACGATGCCGAACATGCCAAAGATCAGGGCATAGTCACTGAGGCGCTTCCGCTTCTCAAAGAGCGCCCTCCGGTGGCCCAGGCGGTGGCCAACGCTGGGGGGCTTCCTTGAGCCCCTCTGTCTGACCGCCTCATCTTCTTCCTCATCTTCCTCCTCTTCCTGGTCCTGGGGCTGCCCCCGGGGGCTGCCAGGCGAGGGCTGCGCCGGCTCGCTCTTGGCCACCACCACCTGGATGCCTGGGCCATTTGGAGGCTGCGGGGGGTGGCCGGCCTCGGGGTCCAGAGGATCTCGGCCCGGGGCACCCAGCCCGCCACCTAGCGGCCGTCCCTCGCAGCCACTGTGTCTGTGGCTGTTCATGACTATGTGGGTGCTGACGTTGGGCTTGCTGCCGGCCGCCTGGGGCCTGGCATGGCTCAGCCACCGGGCTCCCGCGCTGACCTGCAGGGCACAGGGAACACGGTCATGTCAGGGCCTGGCCAACTGACCAGATGGCTAGGGACCCCCACCCCAGAAGCCAAGCCAACCTATGCCCCTTCTCGGCTCAAAACCTCCACACAGGACGCCCTGGAGGTCCAGGGGTTAAGAATCCGCCTCCCAATGCAGGGGATGTGGGTTCGATCCCTGGTCGGGGAAACAAAGATCCCATACGTTGCAGGGCAACTACAGAGCCTATGCACTCTGGAGCCCACATGTCACAACTAGAAAGAAGTCTGTGGCCCACAACGAAGACCTCAAATGCCGCAACTAAGACCCAATGCAGCTACAAATAAGTAAATAAATATAAAACAAAAACAAACCTCCCCGTGGCTCTCCAGCACGATTGGATAAAAACTCCTCACTGTGGCCAGGAGGCCTCTATCGTCTGGCTCCTACCCACCTTATCCTTCTCACTTTCCCAGAGTCACTCCCTTTCAGCCACACTGACCTCCCCATCACCAGGTTCCAGCAAGCTTGGTCCTGCTTCAGGGCCCTTGCACACTCTGAGGCGCCTGCTGCACCCTCTGCCTGGAACACCTTCCTACCAGATCTTTGCCCGATGACTTTTCTGTGTTTCCAAGTACCTAAAGCAATGGATGCTAAAAGCAATAAACACCTAAAGCAATAAACACAGGCGACACTCAGTAAACACCTCTGAAAGCCTCAAGATGGAATTCTGCCGGCTGGTTTGCCTGGGAGGATTAGAAGCCACCTAAATGAGCCATCTGGAACCACCTTAAGGTGGTCTTAAGATAAGACCACTTTACCTTAGCGTACCTGTTTCCTGAGAAACTTGTATGCAGGTCAAGAAGCAACAGTTAGAACCAGACGTGGACTGGTTTGAAATTGCGAAAGGAGTACGTCAAGGCTGTATACTGTCACCGGGCTTATTTAGCTTATACGCAGAGCACATCATGAGAAATGCTGGGCTGGATGACTTGCAAGCTGGAATCAAGACTGCCAGGAGAAATATTGACGACCTCAGATATGCAGATGATACCACTCTAATGGCAGAAAGTGAAGAGGAACTGAAAAGCCTCTTGATGAAGGTGAAAAAGGAGAGTGAAAAAGCTGACTTGAAACTCAACATTCAAAAAACTAAGACCAAAAAAAAAACTAAGATCATGGCATCTGGTCCCATCACTTCATGGTAAAAAGAAGGGGGAAACGTGGAAACAGTGATAGATTTGTGGAAACAGTGATAGATTTTATTAATATTTTCTTGGGCCCCAAAAGCACTGTGAATGGTGACTAAAGCCATGAAATTAAAAGACACTTCTCCTTGGAAGGAAAGCTGTGACAAACCAAGACAGTGTATTAAAAAGCAGAGACATTACTTTGCTGACAAAGGTTCATATAGTCAAAGCTATGGTTTTTCCAGTAGTCATGTAGGGATATGAGAGTTGGACCATAACGAAGGCTGAGCATTGAAGAACTGATGCTTTTGAATTGTGGTGTTAGACAAGACTCTTGAGAGTCCTTTTGACAGCAAGGAGATCAAACCAGTCAATCCTAAAGGAAATCAGTTGTGAATATTCGTTGGAAGGACTGATGCTGAAGCTGAAGGTCCAATACCTTGGCCACCTGATGAGAAAAGCCAACTCATCAGAAAAGACCCTGATGCTAGGAAAGACTGAAGGCAGGAGGAGAACGGGGGGCAACAGAGGATGAAATGGTTGGATGGCATCACTGACTCAATGGACATGCGTTTAGAAAAACTCCAGGGGATAGTGGGGGACAGGGAAGCCTGGCGTGCTGCAGTCCATGCAGTTGCAGAGAGTCAGGTACGACTTAGCAACTGAACAACAGGTGAGCCGTCAGGAGATGGTTCCAACCCAGGCTTGTCTCCTGACTTCTGGGGCCTTGGGCGAATTAATCTCACTCTACTGAGCCTCCAATTCCCTACCACTACCACCTAGAGTTGTCCAAAGGCCTGAACATACTTACACAGTCAAAGGGTATGGCCAGGGAGATATTAGGGACCATGACTATGGCTATGAGACCCTCAGCTCCCTCCTGCCTGCATTTCAGGACCAAAGGAACAATCCAGGATTTAATTCTAAGATCTCAGAATTGAGGAATGCCCTGGCAGTCCAGTGGTTAGGACTCTGTGCTTTCACTGCTGAGAGACCGGGTTCAATCCCTGGTCAAGGAACTAAGACCCCACAAGCCAAGGTGTGGCTAAAAATAAAGACATAAAATTTAAAAAAGAAAAAATCCCAGGGAATTCCCTGGAGGTCCAGGCATTAGGACTCTGTGCTCTCACTGCTGAGGAACGGGTTCAATCCCTGGTTAGGGAACTAAAAACCCTGTAAGCCATGTGATGCAGTCAAAAAAACAAAAAGATCCCAGCACCTTGGTCTGGTCCTGCGACCATGGGCCAGCCTCAGTTTCCCCACAAAGGAAACTGGCTACCGAGAAGCAGACAGGCTGATATGCTCTGACACTCTCAGATTCTGCGCCTGCCTGGGGCCAGGCCCCGTGTGCCACATGCAGGAGCAAGGACCTTGAAGACGGTGACAAGCACAGGATGGGGCTGCCTGCAGTCCAGCCTTGCCAGACCGTCCACTGCTCCACCCCAGCCCACACCCTTACTCCTCACCCCCACGGGCACCCCCAGCTGCCACCATAGCCTGAGTTTACTGAACACCCACTACATGCCAGGCTCTGTCCTTCACACAGAGTTTTCTCCTTAATTCTCACAACATCCCCCAAAAAGGGGTCCTAGGATTTGGCCTGTTGTACAGATGGGGAAACTGAGGCACCAGTTTCCCTTCACTGCGCGGTGAAGGGTCCGTCTCCTTACAAGGCAGATTCCGCATCAGGCTGCCTTGTGGGATTCTCCCAAGAAGCCAGGCAGCAGTGGGCTGTGGGTCCAGTGCTGTCCTCTTGGGAAAGGCTAAGCTAGCATGTGCTGGGGGTTTGGGCGAGGGGGCTGCGTGCGGAGACAAGACACCTCCCTGGCCCTGAAACCACACTCCTGGGGGTGAGAGACTCAGACAATGTCACACCAGGACACACCACGATGAGCAAGGTTGCCAGGCGAGACATGGATGACCTTGGCCAGGGCACCAACCACCGCATGCCCTGCAGGACTACCGGTGTCCACGTCCACCCCGCCCCCAGACAGTACATGTCCCCAGACGAGGGTGCCAGCACACAGGAAGAACCCGAGAAGCATGAGTCTTAGGGCACGTCCCGCTTCCATCCATCCTCCCCACCAGGCTGTGGCCACCTGTGACCTGACACTTCACAGTTTATAGGAGCTGGCCCCCCATGGGCCCAGGACATTACAGTTTGTACAGGCTGATCGCCTGCAGGCCCAGCACTTCACAGTTTATAAGGCTGATCTTGGCCCTGATCTCTTTGTCCTCACAAGCACTCAAGTGCCACTGTCTTCTGGGGTGTCTTCTACGGTCCCTGCTTGCCACCTGAAGGGCGTGAGCTGCTAGGTGGGGCTAAGAGCCTGCCCCCAGGACACACGCCGCAGCCCCAGACCTGCTCTTCCCCAAGAGACAAGGAGACCTCAGACAGCCCTCCCACCTCCCCTCCTGAAGGTGCAGAAGAGCCCCTGCCCAGGGCTTGAGGAAAACAGGCAGGAGAGGGGATGGCCTGGCAGACAGGACTGGGAGGGGGTGGGGGCGCTGCAAACGACCTTCTGAAATGCACCGATGAAGATGCAATTTGGGGATGTGACTCAGCCACCTAACACACAGGCCAAATTCAGCCACGCGGCGGCCATGCTCCTCCTTGCCTGGCAGCCGCGTCCTGACATGCCCTGGGCAGAGAGGGAGTGAGGTGGGGCATGCGGATAGGCAGTAGGTGACTTCCAGGAGGGCGGAGGCCTGGAGGGCCTTCCTAGGGCCCATCACGTTAATGCGGTTATTTGCGACTTAGTCGCTCAGTTGTGTCTCTTTTGCGACCCCGTGGACCATAGCCCGCCAGGCTCCGTTCGTGGAATTTTCCTGGCGGACCAAGACCTTGATCAGAATTACTGCATTTAATCCCTATGGCTACTCAGCGAGGCAGGTGGCATTCTTACTCACATTGGGAGACAAGACTCAGAGAGGTTCAGCATGTTGCCCGAGGTCACACAGCCAGGAGGGGCAGGGGCTAAGTTAGTGCAGTCTGGGGTTGGCAGGATCTGCCTGGATCCCTCTTGACCAGCGAGGATCTTTCCCTTCGGAAAGGGAGCCAGTCTGGCGCAGCCTTTGAGGGGCCACAGAGCTCGGGGCACAGGAGTGGTGGCCGTCTGACACCTCCCACAACCTCACAGGAAGTGGAAGGACAGAGAGGCCTGCCAGAGATCTCAGGAGGAAGGGGCTGGCCCATAATCTAAAGACTGGGTGGGACCAGAGGGCCTTGGGCACAAGAGACCCCACTCCTCCCCAAGTTCACCTTCTCCTCCCTCATTGCAACCTGGGCCTAAAAGTGGGGTCCCCAGGATCCTCAGAGTTTTCCCAAAGAACCAGAAACTCCTATAAAACCCCAGCCAAGGTTTCGATGTCCATGAAAGGGTGTGGTTTTCTGGGTGAAGGCCCCGAGTTCTTCAAGGACTTCTAAAAAGGGAGAAACACCCTGTGGGCCGTATTTGGTTTTGAAGGTTCTTGGAATTGCTAAAATTGTCTCACATGTCTGGGGCACAAGACCTCTGTTCCCTGAATGCTGAGGTAAGGAGATGAGCAGACCCTGCCTTCTGCACTATTTCAAGAGATACTGTGGGAAACCTGTAGGCCAAGTGGGGCAGGGGGAACCCAGGAAGGCTCTTGAAGCAGAGAAGAAAGTGTGCAGGCAGCAGGGACCAAGGAGGCCAGTTCCTCTGAACTTTCCCATCCAACAGGAAGAGAAAGAAAATGACCAGACAGCAAAGGAATGAGCTCTTTTACAAATGATGGGTTGATTACAGAGGGACCTTTGGGTGTTCTAGCCAGGACGAAGTCACGGCCACTTCCTCAGCTATT